GTGTCTCCCCCACCACCTTCTCACCTGTCTCCGGCCCTGTGTTCCCACCGCCGGACTCGTCTCCGGCCCGTCTTCCTCCTCGTTCCCCTTTTGTGTCCCCTCCGCTGTCTCCTGACCCTACACCTCCGTCCCACGTTTGGTCTCGCCGTCCCTCCCCTGCTCGTCCCGTCTCTCCTGTCCTGCGCTCCCACCCTATGTTGCTCCGTTCCCACTCGTCTCGTCCTCTCCTCCTCCCGTCGCCTCCTCCCTCGTCGTTTGTTGTTGCACCTCCCCCGCTGTCTGACTACCTCCGTGCCGCTCGTCCCCTTGTCCCTCGGGTTCTTGCCTCTCTTGTTACAGACCCGTCTGTTCCTGTCTCGCGCCTTGACGCGCTTGTCGCTGCTGTCGCTGACTTCGCCTCTTGATCAGCACCCCTTGTGTGTCGAGGTGCGTTTTTTTATTCGGAGCTGGGCAGCAGCCCGCACTGTTCGATACTCAAAACAAACCCAGGTGGCATATTTGATGCGACACTGTACCGTACGAATTTCGTTTCGCGTCACGCGTTGTGGGCTGCAGGACGTGGCACGCGATTTTGCCACGTCAAAACGGGCCTCACTTGGTCATCAAGTGGGGCTCCACTTGATTTTCGCACAGGGAATGCACGAAAAGGAGGAATAGCAGAGGGGGGTCCCTCTTGAACCCCCTGCAGAAATAGCCGAGGCCCACATGGCCTTCGACAAACGTCGCAGGGGGGCTCCACGACCAGGCCTGTCGTTATCAGGGTATTTTACCCTGATTCCCTGATTTCACAGGGTATTTTTTTTGCCAACCCTTAATTTTCAGGGTTGGGTTTTTCTTAACCCTAACCTCTTCAGGGTTGTATGTCTGTGAACACTTAAAATTTCAGAGTTTGCGTTATCCCAACACTGAGTTTTCAGGGAGTAACGCGTACGAACCCTGAATGCGACATCCATGCGGACCCTGAGTTTCCTCGAAATGGCCCCCTTTCGCGTGACGGGGCCCAGTCCATTGAACACGCCCAGCATGCGTCACGTGGGGAATCTGCACTCGGCAAGATTCCCGCCGTGTACACGCTGTATGTTGCCATTACAGCAACATTTGCAACCGTCAACTGGCATTCGTGACTCAGCACCCAGCAGACGAGGACAGAATATGATGAGCGCGGCAATGTCAGCCTCTGTATGACATCACCCCGCCAATCATCTCTGTGCAGACGATGCCAGCGCAGATGCGTCTCGCCGTTGACGGTATCGCCATGGCGATACGGTCAACCTGGATGGGTTATGCACCATCCATGAAATTCGAAAGATGGGGCTTCTTGTTCCTCTTCCCGTCTTCTTCACCAGCTCCTCCTCCAACCCAGTTTTTTTCATTTCTTCACGTCACAGCTATGAGATGCTCCAGTCTTCTGTCTCCTCTAGTTCCGTCGCGCCGATTTCTCATTTCCATCATATCCGCCGCTTCTAGCCATGGCGGATGTAGGAGACTCTGGTGAGTCTCCCACTGCCGATGATGGTTCTGGACTAGGTAGGGACCCCCCCGTGGAGGTCCGTAGATCCGCTCTAGACATCTTGCGGTCTCCCACCGCAGTCGTTACACCATCACAACCCATATCTACTCCCGCCGCTCCCTATGTACCTCCGCCCGCTGTCGCCTCATCTAGCCGGGGCCCTTTGGTTCCAGACTACGAGACAGCCACGACCGTGCGTTACACGGTCGAGTGTGCATCGACGATTTCATCTGGGAAGAAAGCACGCGTCGGGAAGTACACCCAGAGCACGATAGTCCTCGGCGGGAAGCTACATCGACGGTCGCCGCCTCGCACGTCGCCTGAACCTGAGGCCCCTGGTATTCCAGAACCCAAGCCGCCGAATCTCTCAAAGAAGGAACCCATCGAGCAGAAGTATCTCATGGCTGAGCACAAGTATAAGACCAGCTGGCTTCCATTTTTCCCTTGGCTTCTGCTTTGAAATGCAGTGTGTGCAAGGCTTTCGGCAAAGAGACAACACCGTACTCCAACAGCCGCGACGGGGCACGTGACCTGCAGACGCAAGGGATGCGGTTCCACGAACACACGACAGCCCACGAAGTAGCAGTCAAGCGTCAGATGGAGATCGCCGAAGACATCGCCAACACCCAGAGGCGCATGGAGAATTACGCGCGGATTGACATCGAGGGGAAGCGCGTCATGAGGCTCCTACGCTGCGTCGACTTCCTGTGCAAGTGTGATGCACCCATCAGCATGTACCCGAGGCTACTCCGCTTCATGGCCGAGCAGGAGACACCGGACATTCCGCTGCAGTCTTACGGAGTCTACCTGACACGGTAATGCACTTATTCGAAGTACACCATGTCCTTCATTTTTCAAAAAGGTCTAACCAACACCTTGTTGTCACTTCTGGTACTACAGGTATGACTTCTGTCAGCTCGTCAGCAGCCTGGCAACCTACCTGCAGCGCCGACAAATGCACTACATTCTCGCCTCACCCTACCTCAGCATCAGCTGCGACGAGAGCACTGACCGTACTCGCGGTAAACATCTTATTATTTATCTGACCTTCTTGCGTGCGCATCATTTTGTCACAGAGTTTTTTGCTCTCTTGGCCGTTCTTCTGGCTCACTTGCGAGCAACTGGCATCGACCTCTCCCGAATCACCGGCATGAGCACCGACGGCGCCTCTGTCATGGTCGGCCGAGACAATGGTCTCGTTGCCCGACTTCGCGAGCACATCCCCCACCTCGTCTCGTCGCACTGCATCGCCCACAGGTTTAACCGCACGTCATTTCAATCGCTTAGGGTTCCTACAATTGCTTGTCTAAAATTCCTTCATGTGCACCATGCAGGAAGCCTTGACGGTGAAGGACGCGGCCACTGCTTCTCCAGACTTCGACATGGTCGACCTTGTGATTCGGACTCTTGCCAATCTTCTGGGACGTTCATGTGTCTGGAGTCAACGCTTCAAGTACCTGCAGCGGGCAATACACAACACCAACCTTGAAGTGCAAGGAATTCACACCGTGCGCTGGCTTTCAAGGGGTGAGGCTGTGAGGCGCCTCTGTAAGGTCCTTGGCGCCGCTATCATTCTCTTTTATGAGTACGGGCATGAGCTGTATGAGGTCGTCATCTGTTACAAGTTCCAGTTCTGTCTTTTTTTCCTGGCGGACGTGCTCGGAGTGATGAATGAGCTCAACGTCAAATTCCAGAAGAGGGAGGTGAGCTTCTACCACTGTGGATGTTGTAGTTTTTGTCCCATGCATCCACGTTTGGAATCACCCTCTGACTCCACTCCCTTGTCTGTCACTTCCATCAGGTCGATGTCACCGAAGTGACAAAGGACATCGACGAGGCGACAGGGGACCTCCGCCACCGCTACTTGGAGTGCGGAGAGGTGTTCGGTGGGGGTGTCGAAGGCACGTGGCTTTCGGCTTTCTTGGCGGTCTACGGGCGCGGAGGGGGCAAACGCGTAAAGGTGCGGGGCATCGACAAGGACGGCAACCCAGTCACGCACACCTACACCATGCACGAGAAGCAGATCGACGGGCATGCCTTCCGCAGCAAGTACCCCGATTGCGAGCGGCTCTGCGCGCAGTTCGCGAAGGACACGATAAGCTTCCTGAAGACGAGGATGCTGGACCTGAACAATCTCGGCCCGACGAAGCTCTTCCGCGTGTCGAAGTGGCCCCGGATGAAGCAGCAGAGAGAGAAGAAGCTGAAGGAGTACCTACATGGCTGCAGTGCCTTGTTCGACAACAGGCTGACAGGCTTTTCCTTGCAAGCTGCGCAGAAGGAGCTGGTCACGTGGGCGCCACTAATGCTGAGCCACCATGCCGACGAGGGATTCCATCAAGGCCTGACGAACTACCTCGGCTCGACGGAGTCGACCTTGTGAGAGAGTGCTGCTCAAAGGACGATTGTTGCATTTTTTTTGGGCGGTTTTATTCTTCCCTTTGGATGTTGTTGTTTATCGATTGTTGACTAGCATCGCTAATGCACTGGTCTTGTTCCGTGTACTCTGTTCCCCCAACCCTTTTGGCAGGCGCTGGCCGAACCTCATGCGCTTGTGGCAGGCGTGCGCTGTCCTGCCGCTTAGCACAGTGGAGTGTGAACGAGGCTTCTCGCGGCAGAACGTCATCAAGTCATGGGTGCGGGGCGCGTTGTGCAGTGCGCGCCTCAGCGAGCTGATGGTCATTTCCCTGCTGCAGTACGAGACTGACTGGGACGAGGCCCTTGGGTGTTGGCGCGAGAAGCTAAGGCGCCCTGCTAAGTCTGTTCTGTTTGCCGCAGCGGAGAGGAAGCGTAAGGCGAAGGCGATTGAGGGGGCAGAAGTGAGGGTGGAGGAGGAGGCAGTCCCCGACTACATGGGGGATTGGGCAGAGGATGAGGGAGAGGGGGAGGGGGGAGTGGGGGGAGAGGCTCCTCCTGAAGTGGAAGACAACCCCTTTCTGTCCGATGACGAGGCATAAGACGAAGTGAACATGGATTGCCCATAATTTTAGTCAAGTGTAGCTAGTGGCGTGGAATATTGTGAAGTCTAGACTAGATAGAGGACTTGTAGACTGGCGTAGCGTAGTGGTGCTTTTACTTAACTAGTAGCTGTACATTCCTAGTTGATTTTTTCCAAGTGCAATGCAACCCTGATTGTTGCTAGCCAACCCTGGAGGTTTCAGGGTTGTAATTTCCAGAACACTGAGAAATCAGGGAAGTCAAAATTCCAACACTAGGCCCTCAGGGTAAAATTTTTTCCACATTCGACAGCTCAGGGTGCTTTTTTTTGAAACGTCAGCCCTGTCCACGACGCTGAGGCCCTGCTTTAGACCTTTGCCTCAGAGGTTGGACTAGTAGTGCCGCCCTGGGCTGTGTGTCTCTCGCTAGGCACTGCCCTTGTCTAGCCTAGGGGGTGTGTCAACTTATACATATTCGCATATGTATAGTTATAGGCTAGAAGGGTTCGTGCTCTTAGAGAGTACAACACCCAACCATATGTTCCTCTGTATCCGTCATTTCTATCCATTCTGCTATTCTAACAGGAATATCATGCTACATTGCATTGAAGTAAACCACATGTCACCTTGCCTCCAACCATGGCCGCGCGACATAGTGATGCTGGGAATCGGGAACACAGGCATGTGATGTGCAATAGCAGGATTGTCAACTTTCCCCTGAAGAAGCCTCCTTTCCTTAGTCATGCCTTTCAGGCCCATGCATCTCGCAATTCGTGATGCTACCAGCGCAGTAACGCAATCGCCTCTTTGTTACACGAGCTCTCGTCTGCAGCTGCTGTTGCTGCTACACAAACAACTGCAGCAGCTGTCACTGCTCGTACCTAATGCTATTGCTATCGCTATCGCTACTGCTACTGCTGGCGCTTGGCCTTGTGCTGTGCGAGGAAGGCGTCTATCCTGGCCTTGAGCTCTGTGTTGGGCTCTAGCATTTCCGCTGTCAGATGCGCACGCGTGAACGGGTCCTTCTGTTGCCGTCGCAAAGGGGGGCGGGTGTAGGGCAGGACGTGGGGGTAAAGGGGCAGGGAACGATCGCATTGACGACTGAGGGGGTACAAGGGGCTTCCGGGAGGGAGCAGCAGGGGCACTGTGAGAAAAGCAAGGACAGCCTGGCCTGCCATGCAGCATGGTAAAGCCTTCACACAGATGATGAAAAAAACTGACAAAACAGCAGGGACTATGGATCAATGGGCAGGAGGGGTAGGCGAAAGGCCATGGGCACATGGCATGGCGAGAGAACAGCATTAGTGGTGGGCAGCATACGAGGATTGGTATGGCCTGGCATGGCATGGCGTGGCATGGCATGGCATGGCGTGGCGTGGCGTGGCGTGGCGTGGCATGGCGTGGCATGGCGTGGCATGGCACGGCATGGCATGGCGTGGCATGGCACGGCATGGCATGGCGTGGCATGGCATGGCATGGCATGTCATGGCATGGCATGGCATGGCGTGGCATGGCCTGGCCTGGCATGGCATGGCATGGCCTGGCCTGGCATGGCATGGCATGGCCTGGCCTGGCCTGGCAGGCTTTACGGACCGGGTCGCTGAGCAGGTGTCTGAGGATGACAGGGCGGTCCACCACATTGCCCGATGGCAGCGTCACAGGGTCCCGCATCAACGTGCACTGCCGGGAAGGAGAGAGGAGGGGGATTTTGGGCAGAGAGAGGAAGCAAGCACAGCAGGGGGCGCACAGAAGGTGGGGGAGGAATTGGGACACGTGGCAAAGCCATAATATGGAGGCAACACAGGTGTGCGCCAACACAAGCTGGCTGTAGGGAGACAGCACACAGCATGCACGCGGGGTGTGGGGAAGACAAAAGAGGCTCCCCACACACCTCTGAACGGAGGCGGTGGCGGAGGTGGAGCCCGCATACCTGAATGGGGTCGAGGAAGTCGTTGGGGATGTCGTCGAGCTGCGCCTCTATGTCCATGGCCTCCGCTGCCGCCGCCCTCGCATGCCCCGCCAGCGCCATGAACTCCTGCACCACGTCCCCCGGCAGCAGCCCATGCGCCCCTATCACCGTCGCCGCCTCAGGGAACGCCTGGTGGCAGGTGGAGCAGCAGGGGAGAGAGATGAGGGGAGAAGATGGGAGAGGAGGGGAGAGGAGGGGAGAGGAGGGGAGAGGAAGGGAGAGGATGGGAGAGGGAAGGAGATCAGAGTAATGGAGAGGAGAAAGGCACGGAAAGGGGAAACGACACGGGTGAGGAGTCTATTTTTGAGGCGCCTCAAAAGCAGGACAGAAGATGGGAGTGTGCGGTTTGAAGCACCGCTTGTCCATGGCTCCTCCAATCACTATGTTCAACAAATGACTCATCGGCCAAAACACATTCAGTTCACCCTCTCTGCACGAGCACCCCACCCACCACATGGTTCCTACAAAACCTTCCTGGCCTCACCTCCTCTCTGTATGACCGACCATCAGCCGACACTGCCTCGGCAAAGCGATGGTCCGTGTCATGCTTCGCCAGGTTGGCGTATATGTTCACGATCTGGGAAGGGGGTTGGGGGTGTGGTTGTGCGGGGGCGCGGTTGGGCCGGCGGCGGGGGTTGGGGAGTGTGGCGGGAGAGGGGCAGAGGGGGGGGGGGAAGGAGATGGTGGGATGGGGAGGTTACAGAGGTGGTGAACGTGGATGAGGGGCTGGGATTGGAAACGGAAGATGCAAGCAGTGCTGCATGCATGTCAAGCCATGCAGCATCACCTGTAAGAGCAGCTGCTCACCTGGCGACAGCAGCTGCTCACCTGCGAGAGCAGCTTCTTGGGGTGGAACTCGTATTTCTCGGGGTTGGAGACGCGCAGCGCCTTGCGCTTGGGCCCCACGAGCTGCAGCAGGAAGTAATTGAGCATGGACGCCACACGCTCCACCTGCCACCATGGTGACAGAGGGTGTGGGGGGGGGAGGGGGGGGGGGCGGAAACATGGTGCAGCAGGAAGTAGTTGAGCATGCACACCATGTGCTGCACCTGCCAGAAGCTGAGTGCTGTGGTCCAGTGCACCAGTGGTCCAGTGCTGTGGTCCAGTGCTGGGGTCAAGTGGGTCAGTGGGCCAGTGGAAGGAGATTGTTGGAAGGGCGTGTGGTAACTAGAAGCTGAAGTGCTGTCAGAAGGGAAGACATAGTAGATTGATAGCCGTGAAAAGGAACGTGGCCTTAGGAGCATGAAACAGGGCTAGATGGAATGGGATGGGATCCTCCGATGGGTAGTGAATGAACAAGAGCATGCACGATACGCGGGAGTGGTTACGGTAGACATCCCCGAGCTCTCACAGCCAAGTGCATGCATGAGGCGTGCATGGCAGTGCAGCAGTACCATTTCGGGCAGCAGGAAGGGCTTGACGATCTCAGTGGTGGAGTACTGGATCATGCGCACGTTCGCATTCGCCAGCTGCAGATCCGACCGCACAATCTGATGCCGCACAAGGCGGGGGTGGTGGGGGGGTGCAAGGTAGGGACGTTAGAACATGAGGAATGAATATGCCATATGACAAAGCCCATGCCATGTGGCAATGCCTACGCCATGTGGACTGAAACTGGTGTGCTTCCCACGGCAGTTTGGAACAACGCTTTCACGAGTTATGGGGGATAGAGATATGGGGGATAAGAAAACGAGGGGTAGGGATATAGGGACAGGAATATGGGGGATAGGGATACAGGGGAAAGGAGTATGGGGGATAGTTACATGGGGATAAGAGAACACAGGGAATAGAAAAATAGGGGACATGAATACGGGGGATAAGGATACATGGGAGAGGGATATGGGGATAAAGATACAGGGGATATGGATACAGAGGAAGGGGATACGGAGGATAGGCATACAGGGGATAGGGACGCACATAGAGCAAGGGATCATCCATGGTAAGGCAGGCAAAACAGGAGCTCCAGAGCACGGGGCACACAGCAGCCACAAGGGGCAAACAGCCACACACCAAACGCACAGGCGGACAAAACAAAGCCACAAAGCTCCTCCTCATCCCCTCCCCCACAGCCCCAACGCGCAAAACGCCCCTCCAACCCACCGACTAGCACTCCCCCCCCCCTCTCCCTCCCCCCCAAACCCACCGACTGGTCCCTTTGATACTGCTGCTCTCGTGTCTGCCTCTCGTCAGCAGGCAGCTTGAGCCACTCGTCCTTGTCGGCCATGACTGCCTCCTCCTCCTTGAGCTTGGGGATCTTCTCCAAGGCCTCGTCCAGCAGGTAGATGCTGTCGTTGATCAGCAACGACACGTACCGCAGGTAAAACCCCGTGCACTCCGCCTCTGACATCTGGGGGGGGGGGGGGGAGAGAGGGGGGGAAAGAAGGGGAGGGAGGAAGTCATGCGGGGGTGTGCGTGCGCGGGGGCGGGTGCGGGGATGGGGAGAGGGAGGGAAGACGTGGGGGGAGAGAGAGATGAAGGGAGGAACGCAGGGGGAAATAGGAGGACGGGTCGGGGATGACGTTTGGGACAAGCAAGAGCAGGCAGGAACGGGCAGGACCAGCGAGAAGGAAAGAGTGGGGTGGTGGAAGCAGCGAGTGGGCGGACAGGATCAGGATCAGGACCAGGACCGGGACCGGGACCGGGACCGGGACCGGACCCGGACCCGGACCCGGACCAGGACCAGGACCAGGACCAGGACCAGGACCAGGACCAGGACCAGGACCAGGACCAGGACCAGGACCAGGACCAGGACCAGGACCAGGACCAGGACCAGGACCAGGACCAGGACCAGGACCAGGACCAGGACCAGGACCAGGACCAGGACCAGGACCAGGACCAGGACCAGGACCAGGACCAGGACCAGGATCTGGATGGAGCACTCACATGGATCCAGGCGGCGCGGTGGCTGGGCACGTCCCACAGGTACTCCAGCAGGTCGGCAATCTCAAAGCGCGTGTTGAACTTGTCGTAGAACTGCACCGCAGCGCACGGCAGGTCACAGGTGATGAGTGGTGCGACGAAGAACCAGGGGTAGGAGGAGGAGTGGTGCCACATGAGTGGGCATGACGGGAGAGGGAGTGGCAGGGGGGAGGGAGCGGATGAAATTTAGAGAAGGAAAGGAGAAGAAGAGTAAGAGCAGCAGGTAGACGGGACAGGCATAAGGATGATGAAAACAGTAAGCTACTCACTCGTACACTCAAAGCTCCATGTCTCTCCCCCTCCCTCGCTTCCCCCCATCCCCCCCTTCAATTTGCCCTTGTATTACACAGGAAGGGTTACAGGCATGGTAGGTAATTTGTGACATTGTAACGAGGTGAATTTTGAGTCGACTCAAAAGTCACCTCGTTACAATGTCACACAACACCTGTCTTCACCCCATCCCCCCTTTCAATTTGTCCTTGTATTAGACAGGAAGGGTTACAGGCATGGTAGGTAAGGCACCAACATAGCAAGTTCGAGACACACCAAGGAAACTAGCCATGTCTCTTTCCCTCTCTCTCTTCCCCCCATCCCTCCCTACCACCTTATCTCCCCACTCAACTCCCCCCTTATGGCCCCCACTATTCCCCCCTTTATCTCCCCCCGTTGGCACTGACCGCACTGTGGCCGCCCGTGAACTCGACGTCCACATAGAGCTTGATGAGGTTGGGCGTCAGGTGCCGCATGGCCAGGGGGTGCCCTTCGAACAACGACGCCATGGACGCTGCCACCGTGGGCGTGGGACTGGGGCAGGGAGGGGAGGGGAGAGGAGGGAAGGGGAGGGAGGGGAGGGGAGAGGAGGGGAGGGGAGGGGAGGGGAGGGGCCCACAAATCGCCTCAGGAAAAGGGTGTTAAGGGGCTTCAAAGGGCGTGAGGTCGCGCATGGCCAGCGGGTGCCCTTGAACAACGACGCCATGGACGCCGCCACGGTGGGCGTGGGACTGGGGCAGGGCAGGGCGAGGGGCAGGGGGAGAGGGGGTAGGATGGGGAAAGGGGGGGAGGGGGGGGGAGTGGGGGAGTGGAGGTGAAGAGGATGAACGGGAACGGGAGGAGGGCCAGACTACTGGCAGACTGCAATGCGAGTGGAAAGCTGGAGCAATGTTGGGAAGCAATACGGAAGATAACAAGGGCCGCGTGTAAGACTCTGGACGCTGTGGGGCAAGGGAGCACATGGGGCTGACCTGTGGGAGGGCATCCAGAGCTGCAGCACTTTGACCATCTTGGCGCGCAGGTAGGGGTTCTTGATGTACAGCGGCGACCCCATGAACATCACTATGAAGCTCATGAACTCGTCCTGCCCCGCCCCACGCAGGGGGGAGGGGGGGGGGGACGGGGGCAGGATGGGGGCAGGATGGGGGCGGGAAGGTGGACAGGAACGAGAGGAGAATGGTTGAGGAGGGCAGACACAGGAGAATAAGGAGTTGGCACAAGCAACACATGTGAATGCCATGAGAAAAACGGCAAATGTGCTTGGACGGAGGTGCTTGGACGGAGGTTATTGGACTTACGATATTGGATAGAGGTGGTTGGAGGGAGATAATTTAATGGATGTGTTTGGACGTCTGTTGTTGGACAGAGGTTTGACTCACTCACTGGCAGAAACCAGTCGCATTCCTATTGGCCCTTGACCACACCAACAACCTCTCACTCTCGTCAACAGATCTCATTGAGCTCATATTGAACGTCCACATATCCCATGTCCACATATCCCATGCCCACATATCCCATGCCCACATATCCCACGCCCACATATCCCATGCCCACATATCCCGTGCCCACATATCCCGTGCCCACATATCCCATGCCCGCTCACTGGTCCGCCGGACCACTCACCAGTCCACGGGACCAAGCACCAGACCACTGGACCTGCCCTCATATCCCATGCCCTGCGCACACACTTTGTGCTAGACACTAAAATGCTCCCCATCCAGATCCAATCGGTCCAAGCCAGTATGAGCGCACCAGTCTGAGCCCGTCCAGGGCGTGCGGCAGGCGCGAGGCGAGCATGAGAGTCTCGATGGCGTCGTCCACAAAGTGCTCGGGCATGGAAGCCCAGTCCTTGGGCGCGGGCGCAGGCAGTGGCAGGTGGAACCCGCCCACGAACCGCACCAGCCACACCACCATGAGGTGGTAGAACCGCACTGCCTCCTGTAGGAGCTCGGGGTCCTGGAGGGAGGGGGGGGGAGGGGGGGGGGGTTTTGAACTTGTCGTAGCGAAGGCAAAGTGCAACGCTGCGAAATGACAAGTTCACCTGCGGTTTAAGACAAGAAGGGTGCGTGCAGGGATAAGGCAGCCATAGCCCAGTAGCAAAGAACATACTGTGTTGCCATAGTGCACCTGCAGCGCTGCTCTCCCACCAAAGCCCCTGATGTTGCAGGGTGTTTTTGAGAATGCTAGAAAACACGCTGTTCTCCCATCACAGCACAGCCCCCGGCTGACCTGCAGCGCGGCCTCGTGGCAGAGCGTGTACTCCTTGACCTGGTCCACGCGTGCCTGGTGCTGCGCGATGCGTTGCTCCAGGTCCGCCGGCTCGCCCGGACCCCGCATCGCCTCCAGCACTCGCACGGCCTCGCGGTCGTCCCTGCCCATGCGCTGCAGGGGGGGGCACGAGAGGGGCGGAGGGGGGAGAGGGGGGAGGGGAGAGAGAGAGGGGCACGAGGTGCATGGGGAAGTGAAACGGGGTGCATGAGGCACGAGGTGTATGGGATGGGAAACGAGGTGGAAGCTTCAACACCCGCAGAGCAGCACTTTGCCCATGGGGGGCACACAGGGGGGCACACAGGGGGGCACACAGGGGGGCAAGCAACGAACGACATGGTTCTACAGACTTGGTCCAGCCGTGAGTAGCTAACAGCACACGATTACAGGCAGGAGGAGAAACGCGATGGAAAAGCACACATCCTTTCTAGCTCCGTACGCCGGTAACCAGTCCCCAAGCCACATCCACCTGCCTACCTCCCTACCATTGATCCAATCCCTGTCCTCTCTGTCCCAACACCCCTGCCCACGCCAGTTCACACACCCCTCCCTCCTCTCTCCACCCCGCCACGCCCCCCTTAGCCCACCTGGTGGATGTGGGAGAGGTCTTGGAACACGCGCAGCAGGCCCAGGTTCAGCACGCGCGCCGTCATGAAGAAGCACTCGCAGATGAACCCAAACCGCTCCCCACCCCCCCCACCGCCGCCACCACCACCGCCACCACTGCTGCCCGCACCAGCACTGCCAGCCCTCCCCGCTTTGGCCGGGGAGCCGTCAAAAGGGCTCGAACCACCACCCCCCCCACTCTGCACCGGCCCTGCTAGTCCCGCACCCCCACCACCACCCCCTCCCCCTCCTTCCCCCTGTGCGGTGGCGCCGGCTGCGGTGGCCTGCAGGCGCTGCAGCTCTTCGTGCTCGCGGTGGTGCTGCGCCTGCAGGAAGGACTGCTGGCGCGCCAGGTTGCGCTGGTCCACCCATGAGGATACCTCGTCTGATGTCGCATGGATGGCCGTTAACTTGCTGGGGGAGGAGGGGGGGGAAAGGGTGGGACGGAGGGGTGAGCAATTGGGTTGGAGATGGAGGAGCAGAGAAGCAGGCGTCCGGAACACGGCGGAGAGCACAAGGGGGTGGGCAGAGAGAAGAGAGAAAGGAGCACAGAGCAGGGGGGAGAGGTCAGGGAGAGAAGGGAAGAAGGAGGAGAGCAGAGGGCCAAGCGGAGAGAGCGCTGACCTGAAGTCGAGGCGGCCAGAGCTCTGCAGCACGTAGGCGGGGTCGATGCGGTCGGCCTTGGAGCCCGAGGGGTCGAGGAAGGGCTCACACAGCTTGAGCAGCAGTGACCCCAGGTTCACAAACATGCCGTGACTCGCCATGTGGGCTGCGTCAATCTGTGAGTGGGTTGGGGGGGAGGGAGAGAGGGGGTAAGGGGGAGTGAGAAAGGGGGTAAGGGGAAGAGAGGGGGGGAGGGGGGGGGAGGGGAAGGGGAATGCAGAGAGTGAGCGAAAGCGAGGAACGGCCTAGCTTCCACAGTGCAGGCGAGAGCTTAGGCTGAGCCTGCTCAGCACCCTTGCCCGCTTGCCCCCTCCATGTAGCCCCCACCCCCCCTTCCCCGACCCTTCCTGGTCTCAACTGTCTCCCCTCACCTGCAGTGCGGCGCGGTTGACGTTGGTGCGGATGAGTGCAGCGAGGTACTCGAGCACCTTGTCGCGAGTGTGGGCGGTCTTGAGCAGCACGCGCAGCACCTCCTGCAGCCCCGCCTGCAACTGCCGCGACGCCGACCGCACCGCCACGAACGACGAGCTCAGCTCCGCCTTGCGCCGCTCCGAGGGCTTCGAAAACAGCTGCTGGCTGGTAAGGGGGGGGGGGGGTGGTTGGAGAGAGAAGAGGGGGGGGTAAACGGGGTTAGGGAAAAAGGGACGAGAGTGCAGCCAACCAGCACCGGGGTTCAACCGACACCCAAGTGCTTATCAACCGACCCAAATTCTGCAACCAGCCCACCCCTGGCCCACCCCTGGGCCAACCCTGGCCCCACCGAGGGGTCAGCTGCACCTGCAACCGCATGGCCTGTCGTGTCACCTGGGGTCGGGCACGCCATTGCGCAGCACCGGGTCGGGGATGATGCTGATGTGCAGGAAGGGCCCCAGCAGGCTGCTGCGCTCCAGAACGCGCCCCACCGTGGTGGCGGGGTTGAAGTTGGGGTGCTGCACGAAGCACCGCGCCAGCGCCGGGAAGGACAGCAGCCATGTGAGCGCGGAAAGCGGGCCCTGGAACGGACCTAGCAACGAGATCGGCAGCACTCGGCTCGATATGTCCTGGCTTGGGCAGGAGGGGTCGGAGGGGGAGGTGAGAGGTGGGAGGTGGGTGCACAGAATATGACAAAACAGCATGAAAAAGAAACTAAACGACAGGAAACGAGCCAAAAGCAGCGCCCACTCTCCCTGCTCCCACCCACCCCCTTCACACACACATACCGATCCCCCCCCCCTCTCTCCATCCAGCAAACCCTGCCTCCCTCCCTGTGCATTCCTGCCCTTCTCTGCCCTGCCCTGCATGCGCTGATCTCACAGTGAAGACGGGGTGCATGATGGCGTCCAGCTCGTCGCCCTCGAACCGCTGCACCAGCTGCGCCAGGAACCCCACGGGCAGCCGGCTCCCCGGCGCCTCCCCCACGCCCGTCCCCACGCCCATGCCCCCCGGGCCCCCCGCCGCGGCCAGCAGCAGCGCGGGGGGCTCCCCCGCTATGAAGTCCGTGAGGGGGGACGAGCGCCCGTGCGAGCGCGGGCGCGCGGGCGAGGGGAACATGTCGGGGTGCTGCAGGGAGAGACCCGCGTAGGAGATTAGGAGGTCCTTGGCGCACTGCAGGGATGGGGGGGGGTGTGGGGGGGAGGGGGGAGGTTAGCAGCGAGGGGAAGGCATCGAAGAGAGGGGAGGGCGGTTGGAAGCGTGGGGAGCGATGGAACACCAGTAAAGAGGAATCCGAGGAATCAGAGGCATCAGAGGAATCAGAGGGAGCGAGCAAGCAGCAGCAGCGGGTGTGCGCACCTCGAGCGCGTGCAGCACCATCTTGAGCTTCTCCTGGTCCTTCATATTCGCCACCTTCCGCCCCTCCTCCAGCGCGCGCCCATAGCTCCCCACCGCGTACTCCAGCGGACTCTCCCCACCAGCGCCCCCCGCCCCCCCCGCGCCCCCCGCGTCGTCCGCTCCGCCCATGCTCAGGCGGTCCATGAGCGCGCGCTCGAGCACGTCGGAGTTAAGGAGCATCGCCTTATTCTCGCTAAGCAGCTCCGCCGCTAGTTGTTCTAAGTATACAATCCCACTTCCAGCGCCTTTTCCCCCCGCGGATTGGCCGTCGGCAGGGGGATCCGGCGGCGAGCCTATGGCCATGCGGAGCACGCGCTTGAGGATCTCATCCACCACCTGCTCGCGCGTGCGCGGAACGCGCGCGGGCTGCTTCCCCGTGTCCGCCATCAGCTGGGGGGTTGGGGGGAGACGACACGAGAGGAGACTTGGTTGGCGCAAGCAGGAGAGCGGAAACGTTGAGAAGGAGATTGCCAGGAGGATTCGTGCAGGAAAAGGCGGCGAGCTAGCGAAGGCAATTGAGAGACTGAACTGGCGGTGGTAACTCATCATGGATGCCGTTTCACAAGTGAATCCGGTCGCGCCAATTCGCAAGGCCAACCAGACTGCGGTCATCCCCGCTGACCAAACGTACCAGTATTAGCTAGTTGACCGATTAACGTTAGCTTTGATCCTCGGACCGCATTCAGAGCCCCGCACGCCTTCGACAGTTCGCTCAGCGAAGCTGGATCGTCAGCGTCGCTGGCTCCGTTGGCGACGTCGCCGTCTCCCCTCCCCCGCGTTAATCTCACGATCCTATTGCGGTCAAGGGTACTGCAGTATATCTGGCGGGCTACGACGAGACAAGTGGAGTGGACTTCCTTCGTCTGCTGATGGCACAACAGCTTGGGGTGGAAGGAAGGGGAGAATAGCACGTCGGAGCTAGATTCACCTGGGCTTGGGAGCCCGGCTAAAACACATCTCGCTTCCCATACAGGCCATTGGCACTTTCCCACATCTAGATTAGCGGTGCTTTTACTTTTATCAAAACAATCAGCATAATGATACAAAAAACCTAGATTTCAATTAGTTCATTAGGATGAACAAGATGTTTGCAAAATATGGGACAATAATACAACATTTATGGACTTTCCCAGCTGTTATGACGTAGGCAATTGTTATACCTACCATTCCTAAATATAGCAGCGCGTATCAGAGAGAATGATATATTTTTGTGATAATGAGATTCAAGTTCTAATGTTATAGCGCGCGCCCCAAGACAGGCCAAGATTCAAAGCACGCATCTCCAACTTTGGAGCCTGAAATTGCGGATTGTGCGGAGCACCGACGAGTTTGATTGGTACAGGTGTTTGGGTGGAGGGCGTGTCTCAACATTCGAGGCTTTGTTCCAAGTTTGCCTGGTTTGTTCGGTGCAGAGAGGTCGAAGGAACAGACTGACCGCTAAAGAGTGAAATAACCAGGTAATCCACAATATTGTTATGGCGAACTGCTTATCTAAGCGCGCCCGATTGCAGGCGCCCAGGAAACCCCAAAGACCCCCCATTTCTTCCCCCCCCCAACCCCCACCCCCTTCCCCCTGCCACCCGGCGCTCCTTGCCGCAGCTCCCCCAGTTCCTCCTCACCCCCACCCTTCCGCCCCCCACCCAGTTCCTTCTGTCTCATCTCTCCCCTCTGAGCTAGGGTTTCATACCACCACCGAAGCACAGAGCAGCTCTTAGAAAGAACGACTCAGCTAAAATGTCACACAGCTACCTTGCTCGTTCTGTCAGATTCCATCGATACCGTTACATTTCGTCGCAAAGAAAATATCTCTATCGCACTCCAACGGCTTTCGCGAGAAGAGTTGTCGTCGGTGATGATCTGTCAAAGTTTACGGTAGCATTCCCGTAGCTTGGACCATTTCGCGGGCTTTTCTCCACCAGCCATGTGGCACATCTCCTCCGTGGACTCTTATCCACCAGCCAAGTGTCCTTACCCTTGCTGATCTGGCTCAGTTTTTTTCGAATTCGCGTAGTTTCGCGCTCGAAAAGATTCATTTCAACGGATACCAACGGACACATGTGACCCCCCACCCGGGCATGGGAGACCCGCACCCAGCTCCCAGCCGTGGTTTCGGCAGTCGCTCCGCTCGCAATCCCAATCCCACCCGCCGCACTCCTCGCTCTTCTCGCGCTCCATCCATCTCGCTCGTTTCATTTTCTCCTCGCGTTCCCTCATCGTCGTCATTCTTCGCGTTGCTTCTCCATTTTCGCTTCTCTTTGCGGACACCCCGCGCTCCACTCCCCGCGTCTTCACTGCGCTCTGCGTCGCCGCGTCTTCACCCAGCCTACGCCAGTTCACATCGCCTAGACTAGAAATCCACGATTTTGTAAACGCGGAGGGGGTTATCGTGCGCGTCGCGAGAAGGTGTTCTGTTTCGCCGTCGTTGTCGCCGTCGTGGCCGCCTGCACGTGAAGCAAGATTCGAAGGAGTTGCGAACGATTGCGTGTGTGCTTCTACGTGCGTGTAAGTCTCAAGCTTAAGAATTGTTGATCCAGAATTTCACTACCTTGAATTTCGAATCTGATGTTTCGTTTCGAGCTGTGCAGGACATTCGCGTCTGCGTGAAATCGTCGAATGCAAACTGAGAAGATCTGGAGTCGCGCTTGAAGCAAGGTCTGGAGCTGCGAACGATGCTCTTTGTATGTAAGTATCAAGCATTTATTTCTGTTTATTTGGATTTTCACTAACTTCTATTCTGAGTCTGATGTTTCGTTTCGTGCTGTGAAGGAAATTCGAGCTTGCACGAAATCGAGGATGCAAACTGAGCTGCGCGCCAATTTACGAAGCCGAGATATTCGAGCCTCGTTCTGGAGACGAAGATACGGAGTCGCAGCAAGTGTCAAATTCTTATGCAAGAGTTGAAGACCATCGCTTATGGTTGGTAGTCGTCGCTTTAATTTCCGGATTTTCGAAATCTCCTGACGTTTGGTTACAGTCTCTGCAGGAAATTGCTGACTTGCGAACCGAGCCACGCGCCAAGATTTCAAGTCAACAAGACAAGCGAAGATTCTAAGCCGAGCTATGCTAGGTGAGTTACTAAATTAAGGGAGGTGGGGGGCGAGTAGGCCCGCCTAGAGAGTCTGCCTTTGTTTCCGTCGTGTCGTTTTCCACGACTCCTCGCGTACTAACACTTCCCCCTTGTGCGTCTATCCCTCCCCCCTCGCGTTCGCACCTCTCTGCACGGGAGCCACGGAGTCACGGTCAACGCGCTGCTCCTCGAGTCAACGCCGAGTCAATGGCGTGAAGCCTTGATCAAGAGAGGCAAGATAACGAAGAGCAACGTATCCCGTCAGTTTCTGCAAGGTGAGCCGCTGGTCGATGGGAGGAGGGGGGGCGAGTAGGCGTCTTAAATAGGCCCGCCTAGAGAGTCTGCTTTCGCTTCTCCGCGTGACGTTTTTCAAGGTGCGACCCGTACTAATTCGTCCCTCTTGTGCGTTGCCTCCCGGCCTCTTCTCTACCCCCCCCTCATGTGCGCGCCTCTCTGCATGGGATGGGAGGCACTGCTATGGCGCCGTGAGCCTCCTGCCCTTGCTCCTTGCTGCCGCCAGTCAACGCGCATCCAATAAGTCTGCCTTCGATCAACGGTTTAACGCTGGGTCTGTCGGTGAGGCACGTGTCCTTCCTCTCGCCAGTTTCCGCACTCGCCTTGCTTCTGAATGCACTTCTCACTTCCACCCCCTCTCCCCCCCTTCCTCCTCCCCCCCCTCCCTCCTTCCCCACCCCCCAACTCCCCCACACAGCTCTCCTCGGAGCCAGCGCGGGCCTTTGAGCTTTCCGAGCGGCGGCAGCGGGGAGGGAGTGGCGGCGTTACATCGCTGGTGAGAGGAGCGGTGGCCGTCTCTGCCCCACTAGCCTGCTGCTCGCCGGAGATGAGTATCAGTATCGACGCGCCTTGCCTCGATGCCATCACCACTTCATTTCACTGCACCCATTCCCGCCCTTACTGCTCCTTCCACCGGCTGCCACGTGGCTCATCCAGGGACCCTCCCCCAGATGTCAGTGTTAGGATTAAGGACAGAGTCTAGGTGAACTTAGGAGCTAGAATTACTCAAAATATAAATCCGAAATTCTGGACAGAAAAGTCGTCTTCACAAGAAACGACGTCGACAAAACACTAGCCGTTGGAATGTCGCGAAACTTGGATATGTTGTAGCTCTTGATCTCAGCTACCGTTCCCAATTTGAATCACGTTGATTGATGAAGTATTCGCGACGCTATGGCTTTCGACGCACTAGGGGGTAAGCTGTAGGAGGAGAACTTAACTCAATCTCAAGAGTTCAATCAAAGTTCAAGAATCTCACAAGGAATTAGAAGGAGCAAGAGAAAGGTTGGGATAGGAAGAGAGGGATGAGAGGGAAGGTCCCAAGAGAGTCCCCAACCAAGGAAACCCCATAAGCACAAAGATTCCCTCCCTATAGGAACCCCAACTTTGACATTTGTCCCTTCCCAACCAATCCATCCAAGTTGGCCACCCTTGCCAACCTAGCTTGGTTGTTCCCAACCAATTTGCAGCTGTTACAGTAGAGTGACAAGTTTCCCCAACCCCAAAGGTCCCAACTCCATATAAAGTCACCCCACAACTTCACTTAGTAACCGCCGCAATTGTAACGCAAGCTCATGAACTTTGAATCTTCATAGCTTTCGCGTTCTTGCTCCGATTGAAGCGATTCTTGTTGCGTCGGAAAGATCTTCTCAAGATCTATTATCACAAATACCTGCTCAGACAGAATAACACAAAACACATTCCCAAACTCCAGAACACACCACACACAAATGCTTGCACATTCAAACCACACATGCAAGTTGAAAAAACATGGGATGGGAGGCAGACAGAATGTGATAGCATATGATGACATCACACAACAATCTCCCCCTCTGGCTGCCAACCATCATCGACCATACCACATCTCAAGCATGCATACTCAATGCACACTCATCCCAGCAAGCTTCATGCCCTTCCAATGATCCGCCTCCGCAAGACGCTTAGTGAAAATATCTGCTGCCTGCTGATGGGTCTTCACTATCTCCAGCCGCACCTCCTTATCAAGGATTCTCCTCACCCAATGCCACTTAGGCCTTATGTGTTTTGTCAGCCCATGCAGACAAGCATTCTTGGCCAGCTTCACTGCAGACTCATTGTCACAGAACACAACTGTCGGCTCCTCCTGACCAACTCCCAACTTGTGATACCATGCACGAGGCGCCTGCTTAAGGCCATAGATGGCCTTCTTCAGCCTGCAGACCCTGCCGCTCCCGTCATCCAGCCCCTCTGGCTGTTTCATGTACACCTCCTCCAGAATGATCCCATTCAGAAAGGCAGTCACAATGTCCATCTGCCGTATCTTCCATCCCAGGAGTGCAGCTATCGCCAACAGCACCCTCAGTGTTGTTCCTTTCCCCACAGGAGCAAACACCTCATCATAGTCCTTCCCTTTTGTCTGCTGAAACCCCTTGCCACAAGCCTGGACTTGTAGCGGGTCAGCTCCCCTTCAGGTCCATACTTGTGCCTGTAGATCATCTTGGAAGTGATTGCCTTCTTTCCAGGAGGCAAGTCACACAGGTCCCATGTCTCGTTCTCAATTAGGGACCCGAACTCCTCATCCTCACTCGCCTTCCACTTCTCCCCATTTGGTCCATTCAAGGCCTCCTCTCGAGTCTTGGGCTCAGGGATTGGTGCCCAGTAGCAGTGAGCGATCTCATCTTCCTCAATCTGCTCAACCACACTCCCAGCCTGCACCACATTTGGCTTGCCTCTTCCCCCATAGGTCAGCCTCACTGGAGGGCGCACATCCCTCCTAGGACGCTCAGGCGGGTGTGGAACTCGAGGTGGAGACTCATGCTGCTGCTGCTGCTGCTCTACTTCAGCTGCTCCCCCTTCCTCAGTCACCCCAGACATCTCCTCCTCTGACACTGCAACCTCCACCTGTCTTGAAGGGTGCTGCACCTCATCTGCCTCCACAATGAGCGGTGTAGATGGAAGCTTCTGTTGCTGCTGCTTCCATTCCTTGTAGTACAGGGACTCAAGAAACTTCACATCCCTTGACACTGTCAACTTCTGGGTGGTCAAGTCCCATAGCAGCCACCCCTTGTGATCCGTTGCAATCCCCAAGTGCACACCCCATCTTCCAGAAGCCTCCAACTTCCCCCTTTTCTCCTTGGGCACATGAAACACCACCATGCACCCAAATGCCCTCAGCATGTTCACCGCTGGAGCACTCCCATACCACTTGGCATATGGGATCCACTCCTTATCTCCAACTGTAGCCAGCACCCTATTCTTCACAAGGGCGACCTGCCTCAGTGCAGACACCCAAAACGGATCAGGCAGCCCTGCACGCCCAAGGAGAGTGCGTGCCCCCTCCTGCAGGGTCCTGTTGAACCTCTCAGCCACGCCATTCTGCTGCGGGTTGTAGGGCACTGTCAATTTGAATCATGTTGATTGATGAAGTATTCGCGACGCTATGGCTTTCGACGCATTAGGGGGTAAGCTGTAGGAGGAGAACTTAACTCAATCTCAAGAGTTCAATCAAAGTTCAAGAATCTCACAAGGAATTAGAGGAGCAAGAGAAAGGTTGGGATAGAAGAGAGGGATGAGAGGGAAGGTCCCAAGAGAGTCCCCAACCAAGGAAACCCCATAAGCACAAAGATTCCCTCCCTATAGGAACCCCAACTTTGACATTTGTCCCTTCCCAACCAATCCATCCAAGTTGGCCACCCTTGCCAACCTAGCTTGGTTGTTCCAACCAATTTGCAGCTGTTACAGTAGAGTGACGAATTTCCCCAACCCCAAAGGTCCCAACTCCATATAAAGTCACCCCACAACTTCACTTTGTAACCGCCGCAATTGTAACGCAAGCTCATGAACTTTGAATCTTCATAGCTTTCGCGTTCTTGCTCCGATTGACGCGATTCTTGTTGCGTCGGAAAGATCTTCTCAAGATCTATCATCACAAATACCTGCTCAGACAGAATAACACAAAACACATTCCCAAACTCCAGAACACACACCACACAAATTCTTTCACACACAGTCAAACCATACGTGCCTGTAGATCATCTTGGAAGTGATTGCCTTCTTTCCAGGAGGCAAGTCACACAGGTCCCATGTCTCGTTCTCAATCAGGGACCCAAACTCCTCATCCTCACTCGCCTTCCACTTCTCCCCATTTGGTCCATTCAAGGCCTCTTCTCGAGTCTTGGGCTCAGGGATTGGTGCCCAGTAGCAGTGAGCGATCTCATCTTCCTCAATCTGCTCAACCACACTCCCAGCCTGCACCACATTCGGCTTGCCTCTTCCCCCATAGGTCAGCCTCACTGGAGGGCGCACATCCCTCCTAGGACGCTCAGGCGGGTGTGGAACTCGAGGTGGAGACTCATGCTGCTGCTGCTGCTGCTCTACTTCAGCTGCTCCCCCTTCCTCAGTCACCCCAGACATCTCCTCCTCTGACACTGCAACCTCCACCTGTCTTGAAGGCTGCTGCACCTCATCTGCCTCCACAATGAGCGGTGTAGATGGAAGCTTCTGTTGCTGCTGCTTCCATTCCTTATAGTACAGGGACTCAAGAAACTTCACATCCCTTGACACTGTCAGCTTCTGGGTGGTCAGGTCCCATAGCAGCCACCCCTTGTGATCCTTTGCAATCCCCAAGTGCACACCCCATCTTCCAGAAGCCTCCAACTTCCCCCTTTTCTCCTTGGGCACATGAAACACCACCATGCACCCAAATGCCCTCAGCATGTTCACCGCTGGAGCACTCCCATACCACTTGGCATATGGGATCCACTCCTTATCTCCAACTGTAGCCAGCACCCTATTCTTCACAAGGGCGACCTGCCTCAGTGCAGACACCCAAAACGGATCAGGCAGCCCTGCACGCCCAAGGAGAGTGCGTGCCCCCTCCTGCAGGGTCCTGTTGAACCTCTCAGCCACGCCATTCTGCTGCGGGTTGTAGGGCACTGTCAGTTGATGCTGGATCCCCTTCCTCTTCAACTCCCCCTCAAAATCAGCTCCAATGAACTCCCCACCATTGTCACTGCGGATCACCTTCACCTTGTGTCCGCATTCCCTCTGAGCTCTAGGCATCCACTCCTTAAGGACAGCCGCTGCCACCTCCCCCTTGCTCTTCAAAGGGTAAACCCACACTGCCCGAGTGTGGTCATCCACAATTGTCAAGAAATAGCGGCTGCCTGAGAGGGAAGGGGCTCTTGTGGGCCCCACCACATCCATATGCACAAGTGCAAGTGGGGTCTTGGCTGGTCCTGTAGTGCTGTTGAAGGGGAACTTGGAGAACTTGGTCTCCAAGCATGTAGGGCAGCTCCCAATCTCCTTCACTCCCCCTTTCACCTCCAAGCCCTTCAGGCTCCCATCCTTCACCAACTTCTGCAGCATAGGGAAGTTCACATGACACAGCCTCTCATGCCATGTCTCCCAATCGGCCTCTCCACTCCTTGGTGAAGCCTTAGCCCATGCCGCACTCGCATCCACACCAGCAAGCACCTCACCATGTGTCTGCTGCTTCTGCACTTTCTTGACTGCTTCCAGGACCCATCAGTTGGTGCAGTTGCATCTCCTCCTGCTGTTGCCTTTGCCACTGCTGCCGTTGCTGCTGTTGGAGTCTTCCCATTCCAAGGGATGATGGGCAGCTGCCACAGGTCCTTGATGCAGCTGGTCTCCTCTTCCAGACTCCACAGCACCTTCTTCCCAAGCTTAGCACGGCAGCTGGTTGGTCCAAAGGTCACTTCGGCCTTACTCTTCTGCAGCCGCCGCACAGAGAGAAGGTTAGCAGACAAGCCTTTAACCAGCAGAACATTCCCAAGCCCCACAAGCTCCCCATTAGCTCCCTTAACCTTGGCATTCCCAACACCAATCACGGGGAGCAAAGCACCTGACGCTGCTGCCACATACTTAATCTTCCCAGGGGGTTTTACCTCATCCAGCACATCTGCCCGTGGGGTCATGTGACTGGTGCAACCCGAATCAATCACCCAGTGCGTGAGAGGGTGCATCACAACCTTTCCCACAAATCCCACATCACCCTCATGCCCATGCACATCCTCAACCATAAGAAACAAACCAGGATAGGCATTACCTTGTGCACCTTCACCTTGTGCACCTGAGCCTTGCACAGCGCCAC